GCAAACAATTTCTGTTGCCAAGGTCTGAGCCGAAATTGTCAAAAACAGAAATTGTTTGCTGGGTAGATAGATAAAGTGAGAAAATAATATATTTCTATGTATATTAAGCAATATGTACTTTTGTATTAAGTAATATATATATGAATTATTATATTATTTTATTTTATTATAAGGTTCTGTCTAAAACAGAAAAAGTATAGCATTGTTGAATTTCCTGACGGGTTACAAATAGTTCTATCTTGTTGGATTAATACACATCAGAATGAAAGTATTTGGCCAAACCATGTTAAATCTCAATATACTTTGGATAAATTACTTACAAAAGGAGAGCTTCCGTCAAAGATTGATACATGGAATACTTGTAAAATAAAGAGAATTTTTGGCTCAGCAGGTAAGCTTATATATATATGTTTCATCACATTACTATCTTCAACAGATTAGCCAGTACATTTTTAGAGAATATTGTCATAATAAAACATTGTTTGTTATAATGAGCTATAAAATCTGTAACAAAATATTTAAATCTTCTTTTGTTAAGATACTTGGGAACGAGCTCAGGAAAAATTAACAGATGCAATGGATACATCAACTGTCTTCGATTCTGAAGATTTCAATGAAGAAGAATGGAGATTACAAATGAAAAAACACAGAAGAGATAACGCGAGAAGAATTTATAGCAACGGATCTTCAGATGAAGACAACAGATTTTCAGAAGAAGAATGTACAATTCGTCGTCGTCGTAAAGCACCAAACGATGAATGTCATTATGAAAAAAAAGTCAAAAGATTATCTAACCAAAGTAACAGTCTTTTACAATTGCCATTACTACCCAAGCAACCAATTTCACTTTCATCGCCATTACCTGGTGTTTCCAATTCGCACATAGCTTCCACGTCAAAACTTGATAAATCTCTGAGCAACATACAAATAAGTAAATGAATGAATAGTAAAGGCTCGTGAAATTGTCAAACTAAGAATGAAACAAGGCCGATACGAGCCATTCCCAGGATGTTGTGCAGGAATAAACGTGCATGTATATATATATATACACATGTATGAAAATTCTCATGTAAATTATTTTATAATACTGTTCTATATACTTTTATAATACTATTCTATAATACTGTATTTATTTGCAAGTTTTAATAAATTATAGTGAAACACAGTGCGATATGTCAACTGATTCTGCTGCTACATTGGCATCTCCACATCATCGTTCTAATTCTCCTAAAAAAAGAAGACTATCTGAATATAATGTTGATGATTTATCTACCAGTGGTAAATTTATTTTATGAAGTATCTTTAGTAAGTTTTATCAAATTTCTAATAAAACTATATTAAACTTTTTTTTAAGATTTTAAGAACTTTATGGTAAAAAGTATTATAATATTATTAAGAAGAACAAAATGTCTTTAAGATAAAATAAACAAATAGGAAGCTCGAGAAGAGCAAGCAGTAAACGAAAAAAATATCGAAGAAGAATTCACATTTCCTCTCGAGAATGAAGATCAATTAGTAGAGTTTGAAACAAAATTAAAAAACCCTATATTTTTCCAGAAAATGGTAAGTTTTCAAATGAAAATTAATTATATATTTAATAAAATGATTATTTAGTTGTCGTCTATCATTAGACAATCGGAAGGCAATTTGGCAACTACACTACATTACAATATTTTTAAATCAATTGGTAAGTATCATATTGATATGTATTTACCAATTATTTTTATCTATTAACATTTATAATTTATAAAACTGTGGGTATGTACGTGTGTAACATGTATTATTTGTATAAAGCACGTTTTAAAAATATTTAAAATAAATTGTTCATTTTATTTTGAATCTGTATCAGAATCTCAGAAACACATTTTGATACAAATTCAAAATAAAATAACAAACTTTATTTAAATTGTAAATATTATCTAATATACACATTTTTTAGCTTTATATGTATTTTTTAAAGTTTTTATAAGATTTTTAAATTCAATAGTTTTGCTTTATAGATTTCTTCCTTGAAAATAATTGGTGAAAGCAAAGTAAATTTAGCAAATGCAATTCTTAGCAAATTAATTGCAGATACGCTTGCCACAAAATATAGTTGGTATGGAAAAAAAGGAAAAAAGGCCTTCATGGAACTATTGACATCAAAGTTGATTATAAGTGAGTATTCTATTAGTAATAATAAATATTTTTTATATTGATCTGAATTACAAGATTACAAAAATAAGGTAATATCATTAAAATTGTTTTCTTTTATTCTAGAAACTGTACATATGATTCAGACACAATGTACTGACACACAAATAACAGAAGCTGCCTCAATATGGCTTGCTCAAGCACCAACACGTTTGAAACGTGTTGAAGCCAAGAAACAACAACGAGAACTTTTCGAAAACCGTATATTAGAACAATATAAAAATAATACCATTAATTAAGAATTTAAAAAAATTTAGGTGTTGACTCCGTAATAAGTGTTACAAATAAAAATAAGACAAGTTTTCTTTTACAGTCATAGATTGTATTTAGTCTTGTTATAGACTCAAATTTATATGTAACCTTAAAATATACCCAGCAAACAATTTCTGTT